AAGTATATTGCTAAAATTAATTGTTAAAATTTTATTATAAAAATTAATTTTAAAAAAATTAATATAGACAAATTTGTTTATGTTACAATTTAAGAGATATAGTCTTGCATATATAAGGCAAATTTTTATATATATAGACAAAATTTGGTAATTTTTATATATATAAGACAAAATTTGTACATATAAAGCAATTATTCATGTATATAAGATAAAATTTGTATATATAAGACAAATATTCATATATATAAAACAAATTTTGTACTATATACAGTGTATAATAAGTACTAATTATTTTTAATAATATATATGCAAATTTAAATCTATATGTGCTGCACCTACTGTGCAGATCTAATTTACATCATTGCTGATTATATAAATTAATTTGAATTGATAAATTATAAAGAAAAAATCAGCTTATAACATTTATTACTTGTTTAATAAAATTTGCTTTATATTTACTAATATTTTTTTTTCATATCTAAAATATATTTAATAATTTTTTTCAATTTGTTTTAAATTATTTAATTCTATTAAAGAATTCAAATATTCAGAACTAACTTAAAATTCTTTAAACTTTATTATTCAATTTCTTGTAAATTTTTTATATTTTTATTTTTAGTCTTTTTATAATAATAGATTACTTTTTTTTGTATATTACTTAAAGTACGTATTGTTAGATGCATCATTATTGATTGTATCATTATTAGATGTAGTTAAAATAGTTGTATTAATTTTATTTAATATTTGTTTTATACTTTTAAATATTAGAAGAGAAGTTTTAAATTGTTTATTACTCATTAAAAAAATATGTTGTTTATTGTAAAGAAAGTTATAAAGATATAGTAAAAAAAATTAATAAGCATTAGAATCCATAAGGATAAATCAGTTATTCTACATATTTGTCATTCACATTATAATATATCATAGATTTGATATTATGCATAATATCTTCAGCTATCTATGATATATTATAATATCTATAATAAAATATAGAAAAACTATTACATATGTAATACTAAGGCCACATCAATTTGATTATCTGTTTAATATAATCTTTCCTTTCTAGATTTTGAAATTTTATATGAGTCAAAACACATCATATTAGCCAATAAAATTACAACATTAGTAATTATGTGTATTCAATATTTTTTATATTATTTCTAGCCAATAAAATTACAGTTTTTTTTTTGTTTTTTTTACAATATTCCACCTTTCTCCTATAGGCTATCCTATATTATATTAAACAAAGAATCAAATTGGTATAACCTAAATAATATATAATATTAATTAGTAATTTTTTATTTGTATAAAACAAATTAATTAGTGATATTTGAAAATATTATGAAATAATAAATTTTTGTTTGAGGATAAAAAAGATTAAATATATTAATATAAATCTTACTTGATTTTGATAAGACATTATAAATGCATAATGTCATATACTGTATTATATTGCATTATGCAATACAAAATCAAAAAATATACATTTGCACATCTCTAACCACAATTTAAAATAGATATAAGAATATTTTAATAAGCAAATGATTGTAAAATAAAACTTTATTCAGTTAACAGATTTTCTCTTTTATCTTTTTTATAAATTGATTTTATTTTTTTTGTTAGTTTTATTTTACTTTTTATTTTATTCTTCTGATACTCAAATTTAAAATCTTTTTTCTTTTTTTTTCTTTCTTATAAAACTCATAATTCTAATCCTGTTTGGACTAATGTAACAAGTTACATTTAGGTACTGTTAAGATAATCAGATAATAGCAACTTATATATTTTATAATTATATATGTAACTACAAATGATTTAATAAGGTACTGTCAAAGAAACTAGCATGAAAATTGTGATCCAAGACGAGGCTTACACTTCGAAAACATGTTCTAATTGTGGTAACATACAAAATATCGGTGGAAGAAAAGTTTATAAATGTAAAAATTGTAGGTTAATCATAGATAAGGATGTAAACGGAACTCGTGAGATCTTCTTTTGAGCGTTGCTTGATGGAGCATGCATATGTAGGAATTAATAGTAATGACTAGTATAGATTATTAATGATGTATTACAATCCATCCGATCATGCGCATAATTAATACATAGTATAAGCTAATTTAGTACGTAGCACTCAATCAGATAATCCAGTTTTTAAATTAATATTTAAATTTACATTTTTTTTAAAAAACAGCAAATTTATCGGATTACAAGTTAAATGTTCATTTTCTACAAAACTAATTTTAATTATATTACATAGAATTTTCTAATAATTAAAAAATTTAAAGATTAACAAAAAAATTTATATACAATGAATTCTATAAAATTCAAGAGTTTTTTTTTTTTCCTACTATTTAATTTTCAAACCACCTATTTCTCTTCAGATCAGATTAAATAGTAAACAAGATTAGTATCCTTAATATTCTTCACCACTTGATAATTCTCCGGACCTTAATTCGCCACTAAAGAATTCCCCTAAGCTGACAATGCCATCATCGCATAATTCTTCTTCACCATTACAATCATCAACATTAGTTTCTGGATCCCCATTTGATGTAGTTTTTCGTCTATGGTGACCAGGTACTTCACCAACTGTACTACCAGTTGCATCTCGTTGATGTGGTGAAGGGACGAATTCAAGTACTCCATACATACTAACCTTCGCTTCATTCAAATATGTTGAAGCTTCTCCCCAAAATCCAACAACTCCACTTCCACCTTCACTTGATGTTAATGCACGAGTAAGTTCAACAGTATCTTCAATAGTAATTGTTTTAAGAGGATCCCTAGGTAACCAGAGTTTTCTATTTAAATCTTTAACAAGATTAGGATGCATATATGTTTGATACTGCGATGATTCATCTTGAATCGCTATACGGTTAGGATCATATTTCATAACTAGAGGGTACATATTAGATCGAGAACTTCGCAAAGGTGTGCGTGTAATACCTAGATCAGGACAACTGACGGGGGAAGATGTCAACTCCCTTACTGATGGGTCGAGATTTGGAGGGACAAGTGATAACTTAAGTGTAGTTCTATTAGAGGTACCAATATTTTCATCAGCAATGTTAGTTTGCACTGTTACTGTTTTTGGCTGTTGAGTCTGTTGAGTTCCATGATCGTCACTTTTTTCAAATTCAATTTTTTCAATTAAATTTACAGAGGATCGCTCATCAATAATTTTTGAATGCATATTATTGGAACTATTATATTTTGTACTTGATTCACTATCACTACCATGAGATTCGTCACTTATTATACGTTTAACAAGTACATTATCAGCATTGGTTTCTATCATTTGTGATGACATGTCCTTTTTAATATTATCAGTTGCATTAATTTTGAGCTGATATTTTTCATCTACATCTTTTTTTGATAATTCAACAGTATCTATAGAACCTTCCGATTGATTTTTTTTAGGAGTTGACAGATCTTCTTTGGTTTGTTGTTTTGAACGCGTATCTAAAGCTAGATAATTTGTTCTAGAATGAAATGTCTTATGACAATAATATTTAAAATATCCAGTAGCTATTATAAGTAGTACAATCAAAACACCTTGAGCTATTGCTCTACGAAGCCAAATTACACCAAGAGCAGTTAATTGAAATATAATCAAGCCATCAGTAGTGTAACGAAAAACACGTCGATAAAATTTCCCTCCGGCCTCATATCGTCGCACATAACAATAAGCAAATTGATGTTTAAATACTACAAGGGCGATTGCATAGTATACGAGCGCAAAAATCAATATCAAAGGATTGATCGTTGAATAAGTAATAGTTATTACAAGAATTAGGATATGACTAGGATAATAGAAATAAAATTGAAATGGCCAAGGGTTAGTCGCACGTTTAAGCATACGTGGGGTTGTGGCTATGAATCTGGACGTAAGGATTATATGAAGAAAAATCTGCGATCCAACTTGAACAAGTTCAAAACCATGCGTACAAATGTTAAAGACGACGTAATTGATGAAAAAAGTTGCACCCTAGTATTTTATAAATAAGCATTAATAATTTTTTTAGTATTGTTAATCGCACAATTATATGTATAATTATTTTAATGATTACCTTGGGCAAACTGGTAGCAAGCAACTCAATAATATTAGTGGGATTATTGATCGCATCAAAAATTGATTGTAAAAATGTAATACCCAATAAAAATACTATGAAAACGTTAAAGAAGGAAAATTGATAGAATCGAACTAATACTGCTTCTTCCAATTCTGAATAAGATACGAAACATTCTTGTTTTGAAATTTCTACAATATATGTAAGTTGAAATTTGAAAATCAGTAAAATGTAAATAATTTTGAATTATCTCGGATGAAATAAATATACCCATTAAAATCCAAGGTAAAATTCCCATGAAAAATGAAACTAGTACAGTTGGCAAAACATTTTGAAGAAGAGTACGTATCGCGGGTGTAGCTTCCAGAAAAGCTCCCAAGAAAGAAATTCGTTGAGAGAGCGTTTCAATTGATGTTAGAGTAAGGAAAGCAAAAATAGGAAAAAGCCAAAAGATTGTCAAAGCCCTTAATAAAATTTATAATTTAATGATGAGAGATACAAAAAAAAAAAAAAAAAAAACTGAAATAAAAGAACATTCAAAACGTACCAAACGCAAGCATTAACAATAATATAACGAATCATATTTTCCCGAAATCGCATGATCAAATTTTCCCAAAGTAGGTCTCTTGGTTCTGGAGCCATTCTAGTAGTACATGTATGTGGTGTTGAACTTATAATGCTTTGTGCGCAGATTTGAGCGCTGATATGATCACGAAAAGTTACAAAGCCAATACCCGTAGCCTTATAAGGGCCTGTAGGAGCATTAGTTGGGATAGAACGTAATTCAGCAATACGACGATCCAAATAATTAAATTTTTTAAGAAAATGATCAATCGAGAAAAGCTTCTCTCCTTTCATAACTCCTATCCTACGAATGGGTTGAAATCTGTCAAGCACAGGCTTAGATATATGAGCAAGCGAATCCCATATTAAAAATTGGCGACCATAACCATCCTCTTGATTCATAATATCTTCACTGGGAGTAGTGTAATGTCTATTAATGTTACTATCTTGATCTGATGAACTTTGAATTTGATTGTTATCAGATTTATCAGATTTCTTTTTACGTGGATTCAACCATTCAACAAGTGATTGAATTCTCTGATGTTCCTTTGTTTCACCAGCCTCTAATATATCCTGAGATGAACCATGCTTATAACCAAATAATCTTGCCCAAATACCAATTCCAAATAATTTACGACCTTTAATAGTATTGCAAACATTTTTTGCAAGTTGTATATGAGCTTTTTCAAGTAAAAGTAAAGCTTTTTCTCGTCTATAAATTTTTCGGTCAAGTTTTCCAGTATGCCTCACAATTCTTGTAGTTTCTACAGGCCCCAAACCCAACCCATCGACAAATTCTTGAAGTTTTTCTTCAGACCTCAAATCATGAGGAAGTCTCGACACCATTACTGTCCTAGCAGTAATGGAATCAGTCTCTACTTTATTTAAAAGGTGTTGTCTATGCAATGTCATGTAATGATAATAATTTTTATATGAAAGATACATCCAACTGATACTGACAATATAAGTGCATATCATGTGGGCCCAGAGTGGTTGTGTTTTATTAACGGGAATATTATTAATAGAAAGTACCTCAACACCATCAGCAAAACCACCCGCAAAATAATTGGTTGGCATAAGAATTAGACCAACAATGATTGAATTAAATAATAAGAATTGAAATGCCATTCGAAGAAAGCGAATATACATTAAAGCATCAAGACCTACTCTTGTTAAATAAAATTCATCTGATAAGAAAATAGTGGCTTTTACCCAAGAAAAAAGCCCAGGAGGAATGGGTGGAGAAGGATTTCTTTCAAGATAAAATATTGTTAGTTCATAATTTAACTAATTGGGGCAAAAAAATTGTATATAATAATTTAATTAAATAATAAATCTTTTCATATAACTTACTTTGATAGTTTTGTACGAGGACTATATAGATATTGCATTGATTCTTGATGACGATTCCATTCAAATTGCAATAAACAATATAGGGAAATGCCAGCTGATATCCCTAGCTGGGTTCCTAAACCAATAAAGGTGGGAGTATAGTTGTGTGCAGTGTCCAGAGTCAAAGCCATAGTAAACGGCTTAGATGAATTACTCTGGCTCAAATTACGGCTTCTAAAAGGTCATAAATAAGTTTAACTTGTGATAGAAAAGAAGGAATCTGTCTCTTTAATAAAGACGCGTTCAATTCAATGCTTTATTTTGTCACAATGAAAAAGGTGCGTAACGGTCTAAGTGTGTCAGGTGTGTTACTAGCTTTGGAACAAGTAATTGGGCTGTTATGCACAAAGACAGTATTACTTTGTTGGATACGAAAAATAGTAACTGTTAATTATATATAGATAAATTATTTGTTGTACAATGGCTAATCTACACGTAATTATAATTAAAGCTGTCAAAAATTCAGATCAAAAGATTATAATTACCTGGATTTGGACACAAAATCACCGTTATAGATAGCAATTCAGGCAATAGCAATATTACCTTTGATATAACGATAATAAATTTTTACCACTTTTAAAAGAAAACGAACACATGAACTACTAAAAACAATACTTGTTGCGTACAATAAACCTATCGGAACAAAATATTGTTAAAAGAATATTGTTTAAAAGAATTTTACAGATTCTAGAAGCAAAGTTGCTTATCGAACTGTTTCATAAGGCAGCCGCGACTAAGTTGGCTTAGTCGCCAATACAAACGTTTTGATAGGTAATTGCCAAGCCTTCCTCAGAGCGTCAAGCATCTGGCCGAATTTAGTTCATAGTTAAATACATAGCTAAGCCTTGTCGGAAATGTCCGGAAATAGACAATAAACTCATTATCATTATAACTTCTATGATCATAATGTCGGAAATGGCTTGTTTAAAAAAATTTTCTCATAACTAATTACGTCTATGTACGTACTGTATAGTCGCGAAGTAACGTCCTGGTCTATACGCTAACATCCTTATTGGTAGTAAGGTCTGATCTAGTGAATGATATTCAGTGAAAATCGAGTATATCCGAATATAAAATCGTTTCACCGAGTGAATATCCGCATTAGAGGTGCAGGCGACGATTATTTATCGATTTAACTCAATGAATATTCATTGATAAGATAATTAGCACCTATAAGATTTCATTTTGAGTTGAACTGTGTATCACTGGAAATTCAAAAATTGATGTAATTAAAAACCAATTACTATTTAGGAATTGTGTGAAATATATTTTCCCGAAAAAACATTAGTTGATCAACAGAAACTCCCGCATATTATAATAAAAATAAATCAATAAAAAACGAAGACTTGGTTTCACTACGTAAAATATCCCGAATATTTTCTTAAACATATGTATATGTTATTTTTAAAAAGCATGTCTCATTTATGTACTAACCGAAGTAACATAAGATCTAAAAATTTATAGTCTATTTATACTCAATGTTCATTTTGAAAAGATTCATTAAAGTCATATAAAGTTTTTACATCTATAAAATGTTTTAATCGTTTTTATTGCTTATAACTACATGCATGGCCTAGCAAAGCATTTTATCTGTTCTTTTAAATTTTTATTAAGTCAACCATTTGGTAATCATACAGTGCATAGTTCTACAGTTATAATGTACATATAAATTTTACTTTCTAAGTGTTTCTAGGTTGTGCATCTTTTTGGATCATTTCACATAGAAACTGGTGACGTTTTGAAGTTAGAGACAGTCCTAATTTTTTATTTTTCACTCGTGAAATGTTACATTCTTAGAAGAAAGTTAGTCTATATCATCTGATAATGATGTAAACAGCTTGAGTCGAACCACGAACCAAACGGCTAAGCTGAGCTGTTCAACAGCTAGGCTAAAAAGTCCACTAGCACTATCGCTATAAAAATTAGTGTTGGCTTATGACCTTATGACCGATTATTATGTTTTACCATCTTGGTTATAACGATAAAAAAAGTGGTTATGACCTAAAATGACCAACATTGCTAAAACTGGCTCGGCTCAAAATCTTGACATCATCCTTGGCCAAGAAGTATAGTATACCGATAATTCGTTGGAAACGGTTTGGCTCACTTCATAGACAGCACAAATAAATTATTTCATTGACACTGCCCAAATTATAGTCATTGCAAGTTATGAAAAACTTGGTAAAACAAAGTGTCTATGAAATGATTGGCAGGAAATGATACGGAATCACGTTTTTCAAAAATTTAATATATCACTCATTTACAGTTCGAATCAGGTATCGGTAAATTTTAGAAAAATACACATCATCTATTAGCATGGCTCGATTGGGTTTAGCTCAAATTAATCAGAGTAATGGCTCGGCAAGCTCGGCTTATAAATACACGGCCCTGATCTGTAGAGCCGAAGGATCGACTCGGCTTTGTTAACATTAGTTGTGAGTCGAGTTGAACCAGCCGTTGCATCACCATACGCCAGGGTGTTATTTCAAGACACAATCGTTATAGCAAATTAGGTTTTAAAAAAGGTTCGCATTTGGTTAGAATTAATTATTTGGCTTTTTCAGATTGCGTGTCAGATTGCGTGTTTCGATTAATAACGCCCTGGGGCAAATATGGAATAATAAATGCAGCTGTAACGCATGAGATCGGCCGTATCTTGATCAGACAATTAAGGATTCCCTATTTTCAATTGACAGCATTCATATAATATTTAGTTCGAATAATGTCCATATTGTCCTGAAATAATGCGCTTGAACAGCATATCGACGTATTATGACATATGTACGCACGTACATCGTTTCAAAAAACTTAATCTGTTATTCTTAATGAGGATATTTTGACAATATATGTACGTATGTAATTAAAATTCAGGTATGGCAAAAGTCAAATCAGTTTGTTAGAAGTCGATTCGGATCATCAGTAAAAAGTAGGGTTCCCATCCGGATCCACATATCCACATGTTATATCCGGATTAGGGATGTACAGCACATTGCGATTTTATCTTGCCTGCAATTTTGATGTTCAGCAAAACTCAAATTTCTATGTTAAAAAGCTCTTGCCTTAAGCATGAAGTAAAGAAGACTGATTAAGTTGTAAGTTGTGGTGTTAAATTTAGAAAGAAAGATTATAGTTATGGATTATATGAAAATATCTAATCTCTAGTTTTACTATGTACATACTTGTAAACTTGTAATCAATTATTTTTAAACCGATATAGACTAAGAAAACTGATCCGTTATGAGTCCGAAGCATAAAATTTTGTTTTTGTGAATAATTACAACTCACTCTATTATAGTGATAAATTTCTTTAAATTTCTAAAATGCAGTATTATTAAATTTTAATAAGCTTGTGATGTACAGCCAATCAGGGTTGCGGAAACGAACAGACAGAATTCACGTGGCAGTGTCGATCAAAGCCTGACGTAAAGAAAGAGTTCTTAGAGGTTGGAACCGGTTTTAATAATTCGGGTTTATCACGTGAATTTTGCGATATTTAGAAATTTATCCAATTAAGGGCAGTATTTTAAAATCATATATAAATCTAATGGTAAATTTTTTTTATATTTAATTTTATGAAAAATTATATTAAGTAAACTAATTTTAATTATTAAGTAAAAATTGTAGAGTAGGT